AGCCTTACTAGCTGTAACATACAAATACATTGAATTTGATCTTAGCTGAAAATCAAAAACATTCTGCTAGCTAAACTAAAAGGCCATCGGGTACCTTTCTGTGTGAGCTAAAGTCAGTTTAATGAACGAACAGAGTCATGTTTTTGGTGTTAAACTTTTATGAGTATGGCTGAATTTGGGGATTGTTTATAAAAACTGAGTTTAGTAGTGTGCCAGTGTCAAAACAGGCTAGAAAGCTAATGATTAAATCTATCGGTAGGTCTTTCTAAACCTGACTGTGTGGTTTTGTTGCCCAAACATAACATTCGTGACGGTTATGTTCGTTTTGATATCTATGATGAATTTTCCAAAACTTAACTAAGTTGTTTTGTTGCCTAAACCTAACTTTACTTATGTAAAGCAATTTGGCTCTGGAAAGTCTGTTACAGACAGGTGAATGAGTGATATCGAGTACCGGTCAAACTGTGCGAATATAAATGTCATCACGTTCACCCCGAGGAGAGACGGTACCAAGTTGCGAGTTCCATTTCTGGACGGATATCTCTCGCTGACATCGAACAGACCGAGATAATACACCGAAACCCAGACCAGAGTGTCACAAATACTGGTGTTCAGCATGAAAATGAACCGGTTCTGGAGGCGGAGGGCTCTGGTGGCCAAGATGGCGACGACCACGGGACCGGCTACCAGAACTACGGTTGTAGCGAAGACGATGTGAAAACCAAAAATGAGAAAATCCTCAGGACTGTCGAAGTTCACCGAGAGAGGAACTCCTCCAGAGTCTGTGATGTTGGGGAGGAGCATTGTTCCAAAAATGCGCTTTGTATTTAACGTCCTTTTATAGCTGGTTGTGAAGCCACTGCCCATGTGAACAGAACTGTATTTTCACCCCATGAGGCATGACCTCATCTCACTTTCCATATCAATGTTTAAGCTTAAACTTTTAAAATAATGACAGACATTTAAGCTCATTTTAAGTATGCCCTATATACATGCTGCTGCAGAAAACCATAAGCTGCTGCCCTTTGACCCCCCTGCCCCCATTCCTCCCATCTACAGTTTTTCTGTGTTACTTGCTCCCACGTTTGCTGTGTGGTAACTAGATTAAACATACTGATTAAGGGATTTGCAACATGGTCACCGAATCTTTTGCCTGAAGTAGGGTGCATTGAGTCATTTTCTAATGTTACTTCCATTTTAGAGAGGAATGTTACCTTTTGCTTACAGTCGCCATCTCTATCATGCTTTACCTGCAAAAAACAACAACAACAAAAACAAACTTTTGAATACTTTCTTAGGGGAAAAGTATCAACTTAGATTCCCAGCATGTGATCTGTTTATCCAAAGAATTTGATCATAATAAGTTTGGAAATGTACGGTGAAGTTTTTTGGAGCTGTGAGGAGCTGCTGTCGGTCCCGGGTGTATTTGAAATGACTCTCCGACAATAATTAATGAAGTCAAGAACCATTCATTTGGTTATGGCACACTAACTAACCAGCTCTCTCGCTAACTATAGCAGACAGTTTGGTTGAAATTTCAACTCAATGCAGAGTTCCGGCAGTGAGAGTAATCACATAAACACCGTCGCCATGTCATTCTGTATGCTGAGTGTATGCTTTGGTACTTTTGTAGTTCCTCGTAGTGGAGTCACCAAGAGACACCAAAAATGTGTCTCGTGTGACTTTCATATCTCATCCTCCCAGTCACTGATGGTTGATGGATGTGGTACTTTAAAGTCATAGCTGCTGAGTGTTCCCAAACAACATGCACTAGCACTGCAGATGCCTTTCCAAAGTATACGCACTGCTCATACTTTGAGCAGCATTCAAATATTGGGACATATGACTTGGTCATAGCTTAGCACCTTCAACTTTGACCCTCATGATGACCTTCATCAGGGCCATTCAGCCACCACGCAACCACAGCGTGCCATAATAATAATAATACTAATAACTTTGTTTACATCACTGTATGTTACAAAGATGATATATAGGGTGACGGACTAACCAGCAAGTTGAGGTTCTTGTTTTCTTGCACATATTATACACCAAGGCGAGTTGAATAACTTAGCATGAGGTATGGTTTGAATTTGGTTTAATATTTACTCTCTTTATTATCTATATACCCAAGATCTTTCTCGTTGTGTTTTGGTTCACTTTGTAAAATGAAAAAAACAAGATGTAAGATATATAAAACAAAATAAAAAAATAATAGATATGAAAGCAAAGACAGTAATTAGAACTTTTAACTGAAAAATTGTCAATTTTAGGTCCAGCACGATGTGTGTATCTGAATTTGCTCGAAAAACGTTGCCTGAACACATCCAGGCAGCAGGTTTATCAACAAGTTGGGCAAAAATTGGTATAAAGCTTATTTCAAGGACACAGATGAGCCACACCTTTGTAAAACGGACAGCCTGCTTAAATTATCATTGTGATTATTTATTTGTTTAATAATAATTGAATGCATAATAATTCATATATTTGAATGAATTACCAAATGAAGTGCAGTAAATCGCTGTTAAGGAGAAACATTTTTGCAGAGGAGTTATTATTGTGCAGATAATTATCATTATTGCTATTATTAAGTGCAACATGTATGTACCGAACACAAATCATTAGCATAAACCATCCAATTGACCATTCGATAATGCACACAAATTAAGATCTGTTGCTTTTTGCTGAATCTGATCAACATTTTGCAACTTGTTGTTAATTAACAGCGTTTCCTCACATTGACCACAAATACTAATCCGGGCGACATAACGTTTTCTCCTACAGAAATTTGATGTTGTAAATGAGCTGTAAATCATATGGACGTATTTTTTGAAGGAGACAGGGTAGGCCAAAAAAAAAAAATCCACAAGCCAGCACAATACCATGGCCCTGAAAATGGAAATACCTGCCGTGGAAAAAGGCCCGTATTGCTGCCGTTCAGTTCGCTCGTTTGTCTGTAACAATACATTTAACAGATCATTGAATGCGTCATGTGTTTCAAATACAGTTGTGTTCACATAACCTGCAGAGCTACAGCGACTGAAACGAACGAATCTGTCAAGTCTAAACCCTCCACAATTCAAAACCAAGTAGAGTTTCCCCTTAAAGTTGTTGGTTCAACCAACCTTTTGTCGGTCGCGCGCAGCAGATTTTGCTCCGCGACGTTTTTCCACTTCCATGAGAGAAGGGCTCGCGCACAGATAGAGACGACACAACCGCCATTGCTATGCAGGGACGGAAATGAAACAAGTCCAGAATGTGACCAAACAGAATAAACCAAAAAAACTTCAGCCACTGCGGTTCCAAACATTCGGGAATGCTCCCTGATCCGGGATCAGCACCGTGGACAGCGGTCACGACGCACCTATAGAATATTCCAAATGCTCCAGCTGAGCCACAGGGAAGCAGAAGTACGCCTGAGCCTTAATCACAGCTGAACATATCATTTCAGTACAGTCATGTTTACATGCACATTGTCGGTAACCAGAGGCCTCCACAAAGACACATGAACCTGCCTGAAGGGAAGGAGTGGGTCCGGTTAAAACATTTTAATATTGCTCAGATTTCCCTTTCTCCTGGTTGGTAAAACAAATCCCGTCTGTTATATTGTGGTATTATGGATTAAATGTATCCACAAGTTTAATTTTATTCTGTTGAAAGCGTTTATGACAAATATAACAGGTGTGTTTCTTATAACAAAAAAAAACATCGTTTCCAAATAAAAATGTCAGAAATAAGTGTTCTTAGCCCCAAACGGTCATGGATTACCTCAAATATGCGGAACTCATTGGTCTCACTTCAACCCCCAAAACATATCCACACTTCACCTTTGTTATCACACCTGTATCCCTCACGCAAAAGGGTTCATCTGCGTTTTTTTGTTTCAGTCATTTTTTAAAAACGGGATGAAAGAGAGCCATTCTCACGTCGGCCGCGCGATTTGGCCATTTAACCCCTTCTCCTTATGATGATGGCTGCTTCGTTATCAACGTTCCGTCACGCCATCAAAGTGAAAGTCAATTCTGAAAAAAAGAGGGACAGGGTGGTGGACAGAGACAATTAACGTTAGTGTCTTGCATAATACAATTGGACAAACAGAACAAATATACCTTTCAGTCAACACGGTGCGTAACGCGCGGGTTGCAGCTAAAACCCGCAGACACAACTGTCTCTCTCACCTCGCTCTCCGGCGGCAGGGGCACACCCTCCGCCACACCGTCCTCCACACGGCCTCCCGCAGCGCCGGGCTGCCCCAGATGTACACAGCTGGGGTCACGAGCGCGTTAAGGCGCGCCATGCTCGCGAACAGATTGGTGGCCTCGTTCCTGAACCTCAGGCCTTTCCGCGTCAGCTGCCTCACGATTATATTGACGAAGGACGGACACCACAGGGCCAGGAAGCAGATGACCACGAACACGATGATGCGCAGCGACTCCTTCTTGTTTTCGCGCTCCGCGCTCGGCGCCTCCCTCCCCAGGTGGCTCCTAGCTATGATGTACAGCTTGATCGTCATCAGCACTTTGACGAAAACTATGATCTGCAGGGTCATCACGAGGAACGCGTTTATCTGAGCCGCCTTCGAGATGGGCACCACGTTCTGCACGGTGAGGATGGAGTACGTGTAGATCCAGCAGAACACGCAGATGCCGATGACCGCGGCTCTCGTGACGTAACGGTTGTAAAAGAACGGGTGGCACACGGCGAAGTAGCGGTCGAACTGGGCGAAGAGGAAGGTCAGCACGTTGACGCCGAGGAACGAGGGCAGGATATAGTACGTCCCGTTTCTGGAAGGGTAGCCCTCTTGGACGTCGAAGAGGCCGAGGTAGTAGACCGAGAAGCCGGTCAGCGTGTCGCTGACGCTCGTGTTCAGCATGAACACGAAGCGGTTCTGGCCCCGCAGGGAGCGCGTGGAGGAGATCCCGACCACCACCGAGCCAGCGATCAGCCCGGTGCTCGTGGCGAATAGGATGTGGAAGGCGAAGATAAGGTAGTCCTCCGAGGTGTCGAAGTCCACCGACAGAGAGATGGTGCCGTTGAGAAGCATCCTGGCGCTCCGCCAGAAGACGGAGACGACTGGTCGCTTTTAAAGACGAGCGATGCTCTGAATTTAAGCGTTTTAAACCTCCAAAGGACAGACGCATGTCAGACATACAGGCAGAATAAATGAGGTTGAATCGCGACAAGTCCCACGGGTGTTTGGTAATGGTTAAAACCAACTAACAAGATGATCAGCCTGGTGGCTTGTTAGTGCGTCCTGTGGTTTCCATAACACTCTTTCAGTGGTTCGGTGCGGCCCGCTTCCATATAATCTGATTTCATCTTGAAGTCTGATGTTTATAGGATGACTCAGCAATGTTTCAATCACTTTTCTTCGATGCCTTCACTTTCCCCATAAATCTGTAATCTGTAACCTTAAATTATGAACTAATGAGTTTACGTATTTCATCAAAGGTAAAGTTCTCGTTTCTGTTATAAAAACACAAATAACTTCGTACGAACACAAAGACAAACAGTATTGTCTTTTATTACAGTTGCATTTTGCAAAACAAATGTAGATAACGCTTCCAAAATAAATAAGCGCGGGTCACTCGAGGGCCTCTTCGTCAAATTTGTATTGCTTTACTACATTAACGTCTGTCCGCTTGTAAGTCATTAAATCGTTCGAGCTATGAGAACTTTCAACCTACAATATCGGACTAAAGCCGATGCCTGTTTCAACCACTAGAGGGAGTTATGGTAATATGTTTTCACTGTAACGCCAAAAAGGCCTTGCTCTGCTGATTGCAGTGATCACTGGTCTTGCATGAAATAAGTACAACCTGTACATTTTGGATTCCAATTCAGTTTATATTCAATGCAATACCGTCTAGTGAATCCAAACTATACGCTTCTCTCATAAGTAGGCCATAAAGAAGTTTAATGCTTTCGGTTCACGGAAGTTTTCTCAAACACTATCATATATTAACGTACACGGGTTGATACTAAAGCAGTGAAGTCACTGAAACACCTTTAAAAAAAGTCTGCTGTCCGAATGAAGACACTTTGAGCAATGTTACAAAGGTCTTTCTAAACCTAACTGTGTGGTTTAGAAAGACCATCATCAACGTTAGGTCTGGGCAACAAAACCACAGTCAGGTGTAGAAAGACCGTCACAAACATTATGTTTGGGCAACTAAGCCACACAGTTAGGTTTAGGAAGACCGTCACGAACGCTGTGTACGCAACAGAGAGGCGGGGTTGACTTCAAGCGATTTTCATATTTCCAACAAGTAAACTGACCATAAAACCTGTTAATAAGACAATAGTATTACACTACAGAGAAAAGCCTTACTAGCTGTAACATACAAATACATTGAATTTGATCTTAGCT